GTCCCCCTTGGCCCGCCTGCTTTCCTTCTCACGCCGTCGCAAAAACCACCAAAATAGTCCGGCTCGTCTTGTTCTTCAGTGGCAACGGACCATCTTGGCTGCGGGTTGGAGAAGGAGGCCCTGAAGCAGAGGCGGCGGCGGCGGCAGCAGCAGCAGGGACAAGAGCGCTACGACAGCCTAGAAATGGAGTATGGTCAGCGGCGATCGGAGCTACTGGCGCCACTACGTGAGTGAAGTAGGAAACCCCCCCATCCCGAGAAAACGGTGGGACTGAGAACCGGTTGTGACAAAAAGGCTCGAGGAAAAAACGGGCCGGAGGCCACGATTTGCTTGGCCTTCAACTTGATTTGCTCGTCATCCCCGAAGTGACGGACGGATGCTTGTGACTTGTGTGTCGCCCCCCCCCAGTGGAGCTGGGCCAGTACCAGTGGGCGGCGGCGCTGGCCGAGAAGTATTGCGACTTTGACATCCTGGTCCAGATGTGCGAGCTGACCGACAACCAGAGCCGCCTGCAGCACTACATGAGCAAGTTTGCCGACCAGGTAGGACCCCCCCCCCCCCTTAAACTCAACTCAACTCGAGCACTTGGAAAAAGCACAAAAACAGTTGAACTAAAATTCAAGTCTCGTGCCGAGTCTGAAGGCAAAGAGTTTGAAAGAATCTTGCGCAGCGGCATTCTGGAGCCGCTGGAGAGGCTCGGTGGAGGCTCGGCTGACTAAAGAACGGGAGTAATCGGAATAAATAAGAAGCTTTGAAGCAGGTTTCAGGTGTAAAGGCATTTGGGCGGTTTTCTCGTCAACCTAAAACGAACTCCTTCACTCCCAAAGACGTTTTGAAACGTCTTTTCCGACTTGCTCTCCCCGGCTCGCAGAATTTTGCCGATTTCCTGTTCCGCTGGTACATGGAGAAGGGCAAGAGAGGCAAACTTTTGTCGCAGCCGACCGCTCAGCACCAGCAGCTGGCCGGATTCCTGCGAGCGCACCAACACCTCAGCTGGCTGCACGACATCCACGTCCAGCACTACCACGCCGTACGTCCGTCCGTCCTCGGCTCTGTCCTCGGCTCACCTCCGAACGCGCTCCGAACCCCCCCATGCGCTGGTTTGCACGCAGGCCCACCGGACGCTGGTCAAGCAGGCCGACGCCGAGACGCGTTACTTTGCCAAGAAGAAGACTCTGCTGGCTCTCGGCAAACTGGCGGCGCTGGCGTCCGATCTCGCGGCGGACGAGCTGGCCAAACAAGTCGACGGTGAAACCTCAGCCCTCACGCACACGCACCCCCCATCAAGTCGGGCTTCGTAGTGTGTTTGCGACGCCTGGTGTGTTTGCCCTCAGAAATTGTGGAGCAGGAGCGCTTCCTGCTGCACCAGGAGACCTTGCCCAGGCAGCTTCTGGAGGACAAGCAGCAGAACCCCGACGGCATGTCGCTTCTCAGCGCTCGCCAGCTGGTGCAGGTCAGACACGCCCCCCCCGTCGGTTGAGCGTGGGCTCGAGAGTCCCGGCGAACGGCTTTACCCGACCCGTCGCGAGAAAACCAATTCGGTGAGAGATCGAGTGCAGGAAATCCGTTCGACCACCATATCGACATCTTTGAGATCAGGTCTTTGGACTAGCACTCGCTTTCTGCGATCTGTCCTCCAGCCTGAGTACAAATTGAGCAGGGTCAACCCCCCCCCCCCCCAAAAAAATAAATAAATAAAATAAACAATTCCAATCGCCGAATCCACCAGAAAGTAGGCGGGGAAACACTGTGGGCTCGGGACGGAGCCTTGCTGCCAATCAAGTCTCCCAGTATTTGAGGCCTCCTGAATTGGTTTAGCATTGCCACAAGGTGGCGTCCAAATCGCAGCACCACACCGAATAAAAAGCCCCGCACGGGTGTGATTTTGCGAAGATCAAAAACGTTGCGCAATATGCAAGAAATGCAGAAATGATTCGGGCTCGTCGATTGGCGCCGGCCAGCCGAAAGTCACCTCGTGTGCTTTGTGCGCAGCTTTACATCTGCGACGACAACCGCAGGGCCAACGAGTACGACTTCAAAAAGGCTTTGGATCTCCTGCGGTACATCGATGAGGTCACTTCCTGCCGCCGTGGCGCGCCGCCTCCGCTCTCTCCCACGCAGGCCTTTTAACATGCTTTTTGGTTCTTCCGTCGCCGGCAGGACGACGTCGACGACGGCGGCAACATCCACTCGCTCAAGTGCCAAATCTTGGCAAAAGTTCTCCGGAGAGACGAGTGGGTTTGATTTGCGTATTTGTCAAAAGTACAGATAACGACATACACATACATATACATATGTGTGTGTGTGTGTATTGACTGGCGGACGTCGACCTCCTTTCTGTCCGCCCTCCAGTTGGTCATCTCTCGACGGCAACGACGACCCCCTGGAGGCCGCCAAGGACAGCATCTTTGTCAAGATCCTCGCCATGCTGGCTCAGGAAGGCGAGTCGCAATTGTGGCTTTTTTTTTTAAATTTAATTTCTTGCTTTGTGATGTCACGTGACGCGTGTGCCGACGCCGCAGGTGTCCGGCTGCAGACGTACCTGCCGGAGGTCAAGGAGCTGCTGGAGGTGGACGAGCTGAGCGCTCTCAAATCCAAACCCTACTTTGAGTTTGTGTTGCGAGCAAATTACGAGCATTACCTGGAGGCGCAGATGTGAATGGCCGACTTGAGAACCCCCCCCCCGCCCCCCCCCCCAATCTTCTCCTCAATAAAAATTGTGCCGTTTGGAAAGTGTACTTGCTTGAAACAGGTCAGTGTTCAAAGGTATCCTCAGAATGTATGTGTGTGTGTGCGTGTCCTGCGATTGGCTGGCAACCGGTTCAGGGTGTCCCCCGCCTACTGGCCGAAGGCGGCTGTGAGAGGCCGCGACCCTTGGAAAATGAACGCAAGGATGGATGGAACCAACCGCGACGAAAAATTGTTTTCCAGAGGAGAAATTCGTCAAAGATCTCCCGATTCACAACAGATGTGCTTCCATGACATGAAAGGCGAAACAATCCGCAAAAAAATGGCGAGGTCAGGTCGCACTCTCCCGTTTTTTTTTCTTTAATCCCCAACTTCTAACGGCTGGCACGATGAAATCGACAATCAGAAGCAACCTTATTGATGAGAAAAGCTGACGTTCTTGGTCGTAAACGATGGCTGCGGAGGCCCGAGCTTTTCCACCTTCGAAACGTGTGAAAATATCTCGAAAGCTGCGTGACTGACGTTCGACTCCAAAATAAATGCTGACCCACAAACACCTTCAACGAAATATTTGACACTTGATGACATGATAAATAAGACACACACTTTTTAAAAAAATGTATCAAATCATGGACAACTAAGTGTGCACGCTCTTAAAAAAAGATGTCAGCGTTTATCAAAATGTCTTTTATTTCCTCTGGAGTGTTGCTGGAATAAATAAAAGCTGGGTGAAACACGGTTGGACTCAAGACCAGTATTGCATGTATGAACACATTTACAAACGTTACGCACAATCGAGCGCTTTTTCTTGGGGGCCTTTTTCTCCGGCCGCCCTGTAGGTGGCGCTCCGCTTCCTTCCGCAGCCCGCTCACATGTCAGCGGGGCCCTTGACGGCGGAGTCTTTGGCCCCCGCCACGGGCGCCGCCATGGCTGGAAGGACGCACTGCGACGGCTCGCAGTATCCGGCGGACCCCGAGGGGCCCGGGGGCCCGGGAACTCCCGGAATTCCGGGAGCCCCGCGAGGCCCCCGAGAGCCGTCGCGCCCGTCGCTGCCATATGCCGACCGGCCTGGCTGCCCTGTGGGGTGGTGCAAATATCGTGATCCGAGGCATAAAAACTCGAAATTTTCGGTCGAAAACCGATTTGGCCGAGAACGGAGACGTTCGAAAACCGAGGTTTGACTGTACAGCATTTGAATGTGACTGGCTCAGTGTGAACACAGGCGCAATCCGGATGACAAACGGGTGTGCGCCACATTAACTCTACCGTTCACGGACCGGCCTGGCTGCCCTGTGGGGTGGTGCAAATATTTTAGATCTGTCTACAGGTATATGTACACACACACACACAGGCACTGTTACAGTACATCAAAATTTGACGTGTTCTCTCAGATGTGACGAAAGGAATGCCAGGAAAAGCCTCCCAGAACAGCTGAGCTTGATTTGAGATTCACCTTTTTTTTTTTTTTTAATCGATTTATAATTCTGTAATTAAGAACACGTATTTACAGTATGACAATTATTCAATCATCTATTCTCCCTACGGCTTCTCCTGAGTTATTTTGGAAGCGAGAAATGATGCCTGGGAGCCGAAATGTTCAAAACACTTTCTCTCAAAATGTTTGCACATCACAAAGTTTTGGCGAGTCTTTGATTTCAAATCACAAACAAACGGCTGTTCCTGTGTTGGCC